GGAGGGCTCCAGAGCAAACTAATTCATGCCGGAGCCAAATGGCTTGCTCACAACTTTAATGCCAGTAGCTCACCAAGTAGAATTTTTGCTCAGGAGACTCCACAGCAGAGGTCATTTTGGGGGGGAACGCGGGGGAACGCAGTTCCCCTGGGTGAGGTGCAGGGGGGCGGGGCACATGATGAAGCCCCGCCCCCTGCTTCCGGCCGCCCCGCTTCCAGCCCTCATTCAGCCAGGAGGAGGCAGGAGAAGAGGGAGGGTAAGTTGCTTCCTCCCCGCCTCTCCCCACCCCTGCCTGCCTGGGGCCAGGGAGGGCCTTGGCGGGGCTTCCTCGCACTTCCGCCGGCCTTGCAGGTCCACCGCCGGGCCCCTGATGTCAGGGGGTGTGGCATATGCGAATGAGTTATGCTAATGAGTTCCCCTAGCTCTTTTTCTACGAAATGACCCCTGCTCCACAGCTTAGAGGGAACATTGGTTAGAGCAGGAGGAAGGCTTGCTTGTACACTAGGAAGGAAGGATTGCCTTGCGGATTGTTGTGCCAACCTCGCCTTTTGTTTCCCAAGGGAGAAATGGGTTGAAAAGGAAGAGAAGGTCAGAAGAACCATCAAGCAAGTCCTCAAATGTGACGTGACTCAAGCCAGCCCTCTTGCTCCCTTGGTGGTGCCTCCGGCCGACTGTGTGCTCTCTCTCCTCTGTCTGGAATCGGCTTCCAAAGACCTCCCCACCTACAGCTCAGCCGTGAAGAATGCGGGTTCTCTTGTGAAGTCTGGAGGGCATCTCATCTTAGTGACGTGCCTTGAATCAACCTTCTACATGGCTGGCCAGAATCGGTTCTTCTGCCTCTACTTGGAACAAGAGAACGTTGACAATGCTGTGAAAGCGGCTGGCTTTGATATTGTTTGGGCTAAGTTGGAACGAGTGGTTTATTCAGTGGATGTGAGCAACAATCGGGGCATGTATGCCTTGGTGGCCCAGAAACAGCAGTGAAATATAGGTGCCAGTGTAAGAAAGAAAAAAACAAAACCATCAAAAACTAGATGAACATGATCCAACTTATGTATCTGCGTGATGATTTACAAATGTACTGTTTGATCTTCAATAAAGTTTATAAAATCTTTAAAAAAAAGAATTGTTTTTTTTTTTGTAACCGATTTTGAAACGCCTATGTAGAGAAATATCATGGCCTGCACTAGATCACGCCACCACTCCCTAACCTGGGAAGGCAGCAGCTATACAACTTTCGGCCATCTGGTCTTTGTTGCAGCCAATCAGTGATGTGTTTATGATCACTGAGAATGCTCAGAGAGGGAGCTTGTGATTCGGCTTGTTTATGGAGCTCCTACAGTAGGCCTTTGGTCTGGTAACCAAAGAAACTGGTTCTGTTTCAGAACTGGTTGAAACCAGTTCTTGGGAGCTTCTCTTAAAAGGGATGGCTCCTCATAGAGCCATGTGTGTGAGTCTACTGGCAGCCAACCCACCAGGAAAACAAACACACTGATTTGTAGTTGAGAAGTCAGGGACCTATTTTGGGCCTTTGCTTCTTCTGTGTATACACAAGCCTGTTGTATAATCCAGAATCTTGAATTGGGGTGGTGGTGGTGGTGCAGAATGTAGTGAAAGTTATCAACCCGGCAGGAACTCTTTTACTTTAGCTCTGTGAAATGAACAGATTGGAAAGAAAGATGTCTCTGGATGACATAGCTACACATGGCCATCTAAAGCAGCTTTATGTAAAATCTGACCATCTAGTCCATCAGAATCAGCATTGCCTGCTCTGACTGGCAGCGACTCTCCAGGGACTCAGGCACAGAAGGGCCTTTCCTATCACCTGCTGCTGCAGCTTCTAAGAACATCAGAAGAGCCCTGATGGATCAGACCAGTGGTCCATCTAGTCCAGCTTCCTCACAGTGGCCAACCATTTCCTCTTGATGGCCACCAACAGGGCACAGGGGCAGAGGCCTTCATAAGAACATTAAAAAGCCCTGCTGGATCAGACCAGTGGTCCATCATCCAACATCCTGTCTCACACAGTGGCCAACCAGTTCCTCTGGATGGCCACCAACAGGGCACAGGGGCCGTGGCCTTCATAAGAACATAAAAAGAGCCCTGCTGGATCAGACCAGTGGCCCATCTAGTCCAACATCCCATCTCACACAGCGGCCCACCAGTTCCTCTGGAGGGCGAACAACAGGGCACAGGGGCTGAGGCCTTCCCCTGATGTTGCCTCCTGATTGATTGCCTCTGAGCATGGAGGTTCCCTTTACATGGAAATGCCAGAGACTGAAGCTGGGACCTGGTGCAGGCGTGTCAGAAGCTCTGCCATCAAGCCATTGCATACGTAATTATCCCAGTTGTAAGGCTGCTGAAAATAAAAACTGCCCATGACTGCCTGCACAATGCACACATTATTTCCTTCTGAAAGTTCAATTAATAATTGCCGGAGAGTGACTCATCCAGCTTTGCCAACAGTATGCACTGCACGGTCATTTGAGGTCAATTGGGACAAACAATTCCCCATTTCTGAGAAACTCTACGATGTGAGGCAAAGATACAATGCAGACTCTGTGCCCGCTGTGGTGGATACAGAGGGTGATTTAGCGACCCTGATGGGGAGTCTTCAGACTCATGGAAATTGCTGCGTATCGGTTCTGTGGCACCGATAATAGAAGGGGCACTTTGTAGAATTAATTGCACAGCTGGGCACCACCGAGGGCACAACAGTTGCAAAAGTCTTGGTCCAATACAGATGTTAGACCAGGCCTGAAAGGCAACAAAAACCCATCTTCAAACATGTGTTTCTCTGCTCTCTGTGGTCTCTTTCAAAGAGGGCTGCTTTGGGGAGAAAGGGGGGGGAGGTTAAATGAAGTAAGAAATTAACTAATTAAATTCAAAGAGTGCAATGCAGTGACCAATCAGGACATAATAAGGGAGGTCCAGTGTTCTAGGTTATGGTGGGACCAATAATTACCACATTGTCAACAGAGAACCACCAGAGCACTCATTTCTGAATGTCAAAGGAAACATTTACAAAACTTTCAGTGTGTAGATAGATGATGATGATGATGATGATGATGATGATAGATAGATAGATAGATAGATAGATAGATAGATAGATAGATAGATAGATAGATGGTAAATAGGTAGATGATTGATTGATTGATTGAGATAGATCTATAGCCCTACTAAATATAACTCAATGAAAACATAGAGACAGTGTGCGACTGCAATAAAAAAGGCCAACGCTATGCTGGGGATAATTAGGAAGGGAACTGAAAACAAATCAGCCAGTATCATAATGCCCCTATATAAATCAATGGTGCAACCTCATTTGGAGTACTGTGTGCAGTTCTGGTCACCACACCTCAAAAAGGATATTATAGCATTGGGAAAAGGGCAGAAAAGGGCAACTAGAAGAAATGTTAAAGTGCTTGGGGCTCTTTAGCTTGGAGAAATGACGGCTGAGGGATGACATGATTGAGGTTTACAAGAGTATCCAAGTGGGGTTTGAAGAGGGTGGGGCTTGGGGTGGAGAGGGACCTCAGCAGGGTATACCATAGAGTCCACCTTCTTCCATCCAAGTGATGCTCTGTATTCATTGGTGTTCGTGGGGGGGGGCAACAGTGAGAGGCCTTCTAGTGTCCTGGCCCCACTGGTGGACCTCCTGATGTCCCCTGGTATTTTTGGCCACTGTGTGACAGAGTGTTGGACTAGATGGGCCATTGGACTGATCCAACATTGGCTTCTCTTATGTTCTTATGCTCGTATAGATAGAGATAGAATAAGCAGATGCCACTGAACAAAGGTCCAGCAGTGGGGCCAGGACACTAGAAGCCTTCTCACTGTTGCCCCCCCAAGCACCAAGAATACAGAGCATCACTCACCCCAGACTGAGAGTTCCTATCTATTCCTTGTGGCTAATAGCCACTGATGGACCTCTGCTCCAGATGTTTATCCAATTTCCTCTTGAGGTCATCCGTCCATGGTTGTAGTCACCACCACCTCCTATGGCAGTGAATTCCATGTGTGAATCACTCTTTGGGTGAAGAAGGACTTCCTTTTATCTGTTCTGGTTCCAGTTACATGGCTTGAAGCTCCAATAGAACCCAACAGATTTTTTCCCCCTTGCACTGCAGAAAGGAGAATCCAGGTGAGGTAGTGGGTACACACCCTTGTTGCTGGAAGCAGAGAAGGAGAGAGGTCCTGGGAACAGCCAGTTTGGTGTAGTGCTTAAGTGCGTGGACTCTAATATGGGAGAACCTGGCTTGATTCCCCACTCCTTCACTTGCAGCTGCTGGATGATCTTGGGCAAGCCATAGTTCTGACAAGAGCTGTCCTTGAAAGGGCAGTGTCTGTCAGAGCTCTCTCAGCCCCACCTACCTCACAGGGTGTCTGTTGCAGGGAGGGGAAGGGAAAGGAGTTTGTAAGCCGCTCTGAGACTCCTTTGGGTAGTGAAGGGCGGGGTATAAATCCAATCTCTTCTTCTTCTTCTTCTTCTTCTTCTTCTTCTTCTTCTTCTTCTTCTTCTTTTTTTTTCTTCTTCTTCTTCTTCTTCTTCTTCTTCTTCTTCTTCTTCTTCTTCTTCTTCTTCTTCTTCTTCTTCGAAATAGCGGCTTTGTTATTAGCAATACATTTTCATTAAGCATGACCATGCAAGCAGGGCATGTGGAAGTGTGCTGCAAAGGCAGCAAATTTGCTACTGCACAATGGATCCGCAGAGAAATCTACCCTACACCCCCCCAAGGAATTCATCCACAGACAACTCACAGCTCTCTTTCAAGGGAATTCAGGCTTCCCAGTTTCCCAAACTCTGAACGGTTCTAGGCAAAGACAAGATTGTCTGACTTTGGTTCCCTTTGGGGAAGAGTATACTAGAGTCTGGGGATCCTGGACTATTGGCTTTATTCACAAATAAATATGTGAATATGGGTGGAAGGAGAGAGGCCTTAATGCGAGGCAATAAATATACCACCCCTTATCCCAGAAAGAGACCCCACTCCTCAAGAGCAGCACCACTTTCAGCCAGCTCCCAGTGTGCTCTCCCCCCCTCCTTCAAACTCCAAAATCCCTGTCCCCTTCCTTCAGTGGTGAGTGGTCACCTTTCCCAAGCTCCCAGGGAAGACCTGAGCGAGAAAAAGAAGAAGAGGAGGAGGAGGAGGAGATTTATAGAAGAACTTGTGGGCACTCAATGTAATTGCTGAGCGGTCAGGTTAGAACAGATAAAAGAAAGAACTTCTTCACCCAAAGAGTGATTAACAGTTGGAATTCACTGCCACAGGAAGTGGTGGCGGCTACAAGCATGGACGGCTTCAAAAGGGAATTAAGCATATGGAGCAGAAGTCCATCAGTGGCTATTAGCCACAAGGTATAGATAGGGACTCTGGGGCAAGTGATGCTCTGTCTTCTTGGTGTTTGGGGGGTGAACAGTGGGAGGGCTTCTAGTGTCCTGGCCCCACTGGTGGACCTCCTGATGGCACCTGGTATCTTTGGCCACTGTGTGACAGAGTGTTGGACTGGATGGGCCATTAGCCTAATCCAACATTGGAGTCTCTTTTGTTCTTATACCCCACCCTTCACTACCCAAAGGAGTTTGAGAGGGGCTTACAAACTCCTTTCCCTTCCCCTCTCCACAACAGACACCCTGTGAAGTAGGTGGGGCTGAGAGAGCTCTGAGAGAACTGCCCTTTCAAAAACAGCTCTTTTCAGGACTACGGCTTGCCCAAGGTCATCCAGCAGCTGCGAGTGGAGGAGTGGGGAATCAAACCCAGTTCTCCCAGATTAGAGTCTGCGCACTCAACCACTACACCAAACTGGACAGCATCTGCTGAGAAGAGCTCCCCTCGTGCCCAAGCAACCGTCTTGTGCCCGTCAAGTGCCACCCTAGGCAAACCCTGGAGGGCTGGAGCCATCCACAGTTACCAGAAAAGCAAACCCCCAACAGTATTCTCATTGGCTGAGAAGGGGCAAAAGGCTCAAGGTGCTACAGAGAAATTATCCAAAGCTGAGTACAGTGTTGCCAGCCTCCAGGTGGGGTTTGGATTTCTCCTAACCGTGCCAGACTAC